AAACCTCCAGGACGTGCTAGAGCTAATTCCAGAACCTAGCCTGTCCTCGGGGTGGTTTCACTTCCTAATCTGAGTTTTGAGCTTCCTCCTGAAGGACGGGAAGGCAGTGCAAGGCCCCCCCTTGAGCGGTCAGCACCGCCTGGGCGAGGCTTTGGCCCGTGTGTCCCCCACCTGCAGGGCGGGCAAGCAGTTCGCCACTGAAGGCCACCCAGATCCAGCCTTTGCTCTCTTGCACGATGCTTGCATGCCGTAATGTGTGCTAGCAGTCATGTTGCACTCTATGGATCCGAGGGCTTCTTTCTTTTCTTTCTCCTCTTTCCTCATCCTCCCCCTCCTCCTCTTCTTGCTCCCCCATGCGTTCCCCGAAGTCGTTCCAAACCGACTCGGGGAACAACTGGCCCGATAACTTGGCCAAGCTCTGGCCCAGCAGTCGGCCACAGAGGCGCTTCCCAAGGGGCAGGGGGCGGCGGTGATTCGCCGTAGGCATCTTCGAAAGGTACGACTTCATTCAAAGTGGGGTAGCAGTGTATCGCCACTGTCATGCTAGGATTCGCTCGGCCCATCACACGCACCTCAAGGAATTTCCTTGCGTAGTGCCAACAAATAACCACGGCCAAAGCAACTGGGAGATCACGACCGGGGCGTCCCAAGGAGCGGTGGCCAAGCGCACGGGGGGGGGCGGCCGCGTGATGATGTGGACCGTAGACAAACTCTGGTTTACTAGTGACGTGGGCTCTTCGATCAACGACAGCAGCAGCAGGTGGCAGAGCGCAGGGTGACCATGTTTTGTTGGCGGTCGCGATTGTGAAGACGGTGCAGGCGCGACGTCACACAGAAGAGCAAACAAGGCCCGCTGATCCTCTGGGGCCACCGTGCAAGCGCGTGCGCTGCGTGGGGGCCCAGAGGGGTCGGCTAAAAAGGTTGAAACCGCGCGGGCCTGGAAGGCGCCAGCTATGCGCCCGCCTTGCCCCTGCCAGTGGAAGGCCCGATCGTGCTTTCCCAGCACGGCTCATAGCCCGAAGATGCCGCGGTGCGGTAGCAGAACCCGCTCCCGTCCTCGCAAGCGCCGAAATAGCACACGCCAGCGAGGTAGGACATCGAGCACGCCTCACAGGCCTTCACTGCGGTGGCGTGGTGGTCTGTCACCTTCTCAGGGCTCGCCTTGTCGACAGACAGCGAAAGCGCAGGAACAGTCAGGGCAACCAGCAAGACGGCTTGCCACATCTTCGCCATGGAGAAGCTGCTGGAGGCTCGGCGTAGGAATGTGGAATCTGCCAGGTCGGAGGATGCAAGCAAGCGAACACCTCGAGGAAAAAATGGCCATGGATGAGCTGAGCGGGGAGGAAGACGTGCGATCGCATGACGCACGACACAGGGCGGGGCTGAAGAGGGAAAGACCGGCGTGCGACGATGCACGACGCGACGAAATCTCACACTGCGCAACTACGCCTCGCCATTCGACATACGAACATCACGGTAGACCTGAATCACGTGCGCAGGCAGCCCTCACTGCACTCTCTCCACTTTGCTTTCTGCGTGCCATTGCTGCAACATCCGCCACCGTGCCCTTGGGGCACGGATTGGAGCGTCCTCGGGTCCCTGGCCTGATCCCTGAATCCTCAGCCCTCAACCCTGAGGATTCTTCTAAAAAGCCCGGGCCCCAAATTGCAAAATCTCTTGGGGTTTGGCGTGTGCCCCCTGGGCTTCCCGGCGTGCCGGTGCATGTTGTCGAAGAACATGTCTGGGCCCAAGGGGGCCCCGATCCGCCGCACCACCGCTCCAAGACGCCCAAGATGGCCCCACGATGGCCCAAGAGCCCTTCGAGGCGGCCCAAGAAAGCCCAGAGAGCCTTCTCAAGAGGGCCCCGAGAGGTCAACATTATTGATTTCACATGGTCTCTTCCAACCATCCTGTGGTGTTGGGTCCTCGTTTCGAGGAGACAGCGCCCCGCGCTCCGCCTTCCTTCCTCCTTCCTCCTTCCTTTCCCCTCCCCCTCCTTCCTCCTCCCGCTCCTCCCGTCCCCTGTACTCCTCACACGTTTCGGGCCCCCACCGAAGACCCGAGTGGCTGCGTTCGCATGCGCCCACCGCACCAATCTCGTCACAGCCCTCACACGTTTCGTGCTCCCTTAGGCAGCTCCACCGAAAGCCCCAGTGGCTGCGTTTGTATGCGCCCACCGCACCCGTTTCAGCACACCCATCACACGTTTGGTGGTCCACAGGCAGCTCCACAAAAGGCCCCCGTGGCTGCGTTCGCATGCGCCCACCGCACACATTCCTTCACACGCTCCGTGGCCCCAGAGGGAGCTCCACCGAAGGCTCCAGTGGCTGCGTTCACATGCGCCCACCGCACCCATTTCGGAACACCCTTCACACGCTTCGTGGCCCCGCAGGGAGCTCCACCGACGGCCCCAGGGGCTGCGTTCGCATGCGCCCACCGCGCCCATTGTGGCACACCTCTCACTCGTTTCGCGGCCCCATAGGGACCTCCACCGACGAACCCAGTGGCTGCGTTCGCATGCGACCACCACACCAAGTTCGGCACACCCCTCACACGCTCCGTGGCCAAATAAGGAGCTCCACCGACGGCTCCAGTGGTTGCGTTCGCATGCGCCCACCGAGTCTTTGTTTGACACGCACCACACACGTTTCGTGGCCCGTAGGGAGCTCCACCGACGGCCCCAGTGGCTTCGTTCGCACGCGCCCACCGCATCCATTTTGCACACCCTTTACTCGTTTCGCGGCCCCATACGTAGCTCCACTGACGGCCTCTGTGGCTGCGTTCGCATGCGCCCACCGCACCCATTTTTGGCACACCGCTCACACGCTCCGTGGCCCCATAGGGAGCTTCACCGACGGCCCCGGAGGCTGCGCTCGCATGCGTCCACCGCACCCATTCGGGCACACCCCTCACACGTTTCGTGGCCCCGTAGGAAATCCAACCGACGGCCCCAACGGCTGCTTTCGCATGCGCGCACCGCGCAGATTTTTGCACCCTTCACACGTTCCGTGTCCTATAGGGAGCTCCTCCGAATGCGGTGCATACAAAGACGCTGCTCACAACTGCATATGGTTGGGTCCTTCGCCAGGCTAAGCTTAAACATGTTTGGGGGGTCCTCGGCTTTTGGAGCTCCCGACGCTTCAAGACGGCCCGCGAAGCCTCCAAGACCATTCCAAGACGGCTTAGGAGGCCCCCAGGAAGGCCCCAAGACGGCCTAAGAGGGCTCCGAGACGGCCTCGGAGGCGCCCAAGACGGCTGAAGATGGGGTCGAAGACAGCCCCAAGAAGGGCCCAAGAGGGGACACACGAACCGAAAAAACAAATCTACCGCCCCAGTTGGCCACCAGGAGGCTCCGAGGCGCCCGAGAGGCCCCCAAAACATGCGCCCGAGAGGCCCAAAGGAGGCGCCCGAGGGGCCCGAAGAGGCCCCCAAGAGGCCCCCAAGAGGCCCCGAAACGGACCCCAAGGAGGCTCCTGAGAACCCTCCCATGGCCCAAAACCCAGACACGGTGGCGGGATGTGATGAAGGCTATTCGAAAGGTACGACTTCATTCAAAGTGGGGTAGCAGTTTATCACCGTCGTCATGCTAGGATTCGCTCGGCCCAGCACACACACCTCAAGGAGTTTGCCTGCGCAGTGCCAACAAATAACCGCGGCCAAAGCAACTGGGAGATCACGACCGGGGCGTCCCAAGGAGCGGTGGCCAAGCGCACGGGGGGGGGCGGCCGCGTGATGATGTGGACCGTAGACAAACTCTGGTTTACTAGTGACGTGGGCTCTTCGATCAACGACAGCAGCAGCAGGAGGCAGAGCGCAGGGTGACCATGTTTTGTTGGCGGTCGCGATTGTGAAGACGGTGCAGGCGCGACGTCACACAGAAGAGCAAACAAGGCCCGCTGATCCTCTGGGGCCACCGTGCAAGCGCGTGCGCTGCGTGGGGGCCCAGAGGGGTCGGCTAAAAAGGTTGAAACCGCGCGGGCCTGGAAGGCGCCAGCTATGCGCCCGCCTTGCCCCTGCCAGTGGAAGGCCCGATCGTGCTTTCCCAGCACGGCTCATAGCCCGAAGATGCCGCGGTGCGGTAGCAGAACCCGCTCCCGTCCTCGCAAGCGCCGAAATAGCACACGCCAGCGAGGTAGGACATCGAGCACGCCTCACAGGCCTTCACTGCGGTGGCGTGGTGGTCTGTCACCTTCTCAGGGCTCGCCTTGTCGACAGACAGCGAAAGCGCAGGAACAGTCAGGGCAACCAGCAAGACGGCTTGCCACATCTTCGCCATGGAGAAGCTGCTGGAGGCTCGGCGTAGGAATGTGGAATCTGCCAGGTCGGAGGATGCAAGCAAGCGAACACCTCGAGGAAAAAATGGCCATGGATGAGCTGAGCGGGGAGGAAGACGTGCGATCGCATGCACAGAGCGGTAAAGAAAAGAGACAGACCGACGAACTTCGAAGTACGAAGCGACGAGATCTTACACTGCGCAACTACACCGCGCCATTCCATACCATATATCAGCAATACGGAAAACTTGTAACTCGAACGAAGCCAGCCCAACATGCGCCCTCGGGCGCGTTGTGAATGCCATGCCTGCCAGACTCGACTGCACCGTATAAAGCACTCACAGTGGCGTAAACTTATGACATGTACAATCAAGGTACCTTGCAATCACATGTATCGCTATGACATCGCTGCATGCCAAGGCACGCTTTACCCGTCGAACTGCGACCCAATCGTGAAATCGTATGAAACAAAATCGGAAACTATACCATATTCCTTCGCTCGACCATGGAACCTTTGTGACGAAAATCGGCCGCGCCCCGGCGGATGCTTCACGGCACTCGAAGAACAGCTCTGATGCTCATAAACCCTGGTCCAACTTGCAAGTGAGACTGCGTATTCCCTCTGTACTCCCCTGACCGTCCATTGAACCCCGCGTCTGATTCGCACGAGGAATGGCCTACAAGGGCTTGTCAGGTGGAGCCCAAAAGCGGCCAAAGCGGGATGTGCGATGACGGGCGGCTGTGGCGATGGAGTGCCGGCGGCATGGTGCACAGTGAGGGACGCAAGAGAATACTCAAACTAGTGTTTTTTGATTGCCACATGTTCAAGGCCTGACGACGCGGTACTTCCATGTGACCCTCTACCTTGCTATACTTGCAGCGGCAACGAGTGGCACAAGCAAGGATGTTCACTTTCGTGCACAGCGCCTACGATCTGCTGCAGCATATACGTTATCTGCAGCTCAAACAGCGAAGCGCAACTGATACCAAATAAAGGATACGCAACAGCACATGACACAACACATGGCATGGCCAGATGAGCCAGCTGAGATCGCGCGGGCCCAGGCGGCAAGTTCGACCAGGCGAGTTGCTGAAGCGTGCGTCCTGCATGAATCGTGAGGAAGTCTCGAGCGATTGCGCGATTCCCCAAAACACCTAGAAGGAAATACACAGCGAGAGCGTGATTCCTGAGTGTCGAGGGCGCGACGTTTGAATAAATTGCGAGGACGTCCCATGCGAGATCGCGTTTCATGTATAAGTTGTGAGGATGTCCCCGATGTGGGATTAAACTGTGAAGAAGTATCAGGCGGGACACGTTGTTGCAAACCGAGGTCCAACAACCCAATCCTGAGACCCAAAACTTCCCCTGATAAAAGAACCACTTGCGAGCCCCAGGAGGGGCACAATTGAGAAAACAATGTGTGCCCCGGAGGGGGGGATCAACACACATTATTCTCCAGTAGTGAGAGTTTAATCATGTTCAGACTGTTCGCTCTTACCTGCTCGCGTGCCATTCAACACGTATATCCCAAACCCTCGAAACCCGCCCGTTTTGTCTTCGATCGTGCCCCCATCAGGGGTGTATCTGTTTACCCGCAACGTGTATTTTGTGCAGCCCCTTTGGCAGGGGAAGAGAGGACGGATGGAAGAAAGGAACAAGGAGGATGGAGGAGGCTGGAGCACGAGAGAGAGTACAAGGATGGGGGGCTAGGGGCAGAAAACACGTGGCAGAACCAGACGGGCAAATCTGGCGCGTAGCCCCCAACGAGCGGGTTGGGAAGGAGGGCGCAGGCGGCAAGGTCGACCAGGCGGGTTGCTGAAGCGTGCGTCCTGCGTGAAACGTGAAGAAGTCTCGAGCGATAGCGCGGTGTCCCCAATGAACCTTGAGGAAATCCACAGCGAGATCGTGATTCCCGAGTTTCGAGGGCGCGACGTTTGAATAAATTGAAAGCAAGTCCCACGCGAGAACGCGATTCTTGTATAAATATTGACGAGGCCCCGCGCGAGAGTGCGATGTGGGAATTCATTGTGAGGCAATATCAGGCGGGAGCAGTCGTTTTTGTAAACTGGGGACCAGGGGCGCAATTTGGCGACACCTCACTCTTCCTGATCAGAAACAGGGTGCGAGCCCCGGGGGAAACACTTCCATTGAACAAATACAATGGTTACCAGGAGGAGGGATCAGCAATAATTTTTCTTTAGAAGCGATAGCTCAACCACAACCACAACCATAACCACAGCCACAATAACAACAGCAACAACAGCAACAACAACACCAACAACACCAACAACAACACTAAAGACAACAACAACATCATCATCATCAACAGCAAACAGCGTAGGACTATAGCCTGACCTGCTCGCGTGCCATTCAACACGAATATCCCAAACTCTCGGCACCCACCCTCTTTGATTTCGACCTTCCCTGCCATGTGCAATTGGCGCAGCCCCTAAAGCTAGGGAGGAGGGGACGGATGGAAGGGGAAGGGAGACGGATGGAACACGAAAGAGATTAGCAGGAGGGGGGCTGGGAGCAGAAAACACGTGGCAGAACCAGACGGGCTGATCGGACGGGTAAACCCAAACGGGCGGGTCGGGGCGGCCAGGTCGAGCAGGCGAGCTGCTGAAGCGTGCGTCCTGCATGAATCGCGAAAACGTATCGAGCGATTGCGCGGTTCCCAAATACATTGCGAGAAAAACCAAAGCGAGATGCGAAGAAATCCCAGGCGAGAGCGCGATTGGTGCTTAACTTGTGACGAGGTCCCGCGCGAGAGCGCGGTTTTGAAATACATTGCGAACATGTATCAGGCGGGTGCCGCTGTTGTTGCACGTCCGTGGCATGGGGCGCAATCTGAGGAGGAAGACTTTCCCTTGTAAAAAACCAGGTGCGAGCCCCGGGAGGCCCATTTTATTTGAACAAACAATAGATGCACTGGAGGGGACGGGGGTATCAAAGATAACTGTTCTTTCGGCATGGGAATTCAGCAACAGATGTGCGCCCTCCCGCGCCTTCAGTGACGATGGGCTTCTTTGGCTTCCACACGGCCGCAACACAACCCAAGAGGGGCCCCAGAGGGGCCCAGGATGACCCCAAGAGACTCAGGAAGGCCCCAAACGATCGGCTGCCGATGTCGACAATGACGCCTGATAGCGAATACAGTCGTACCCAGGCCAGAAGAGCATCTTCCAAGAACATGTTTTTCCCTAGGCCAAGCAATCCAACGATTCCCTGAGGAGCTTCATCCGCACCAATCGTGCGCGACGCTCGTGCAACACCAGTCGATGCCGCTCGACCTCGGGCACTCTCGCTTGTGCCGCGGTCAAGGCTGCGAATTCATCTACAATTGTATTTCCGAGAAACCATGCGGAAGGCAAGGGTGAAGAGTCTTCGCGCGTGAGACAACCATGCGGGTTGGCAGTCTACCAGTGGCCCTCCACCCAGTTCTTCAGACACTGACCCACAGCAACATGTAACTGTGCAATGTGGTAATCTGAGAGTGGTGCCCAAGGTAAATCCTTGATGAAATGATCCTTATCTTCTGCTTTCTCGTAATCCTCAACGTTCACGCTGTTATCGTTGAAGAGATCGATCAATGGGATGTCGTACACGTTGAAACTGCCCAACTTGTTCATCCTGGCCACGTCATCGTTGATGCGCCAGTGCACCTGACTTTGCAAATCTTTGAATGTCGAGATGTGGTGCACGCAATGCCTTCGGGCCGAAAACAAAGTGTTGGCCATCGCTGCGCCGTGGTAGCCGATGATCTCCGCGGCCCGGGTGAACATTCTCACGGTATCTGCGACGCTTTCGTTTCCGTAGTACACTGTCAGCGGCAGATCTACCTTGCCCAACTTCGTACCACTCATCGAGTCCTTCAACTTCGCCAAATCGGCGTCGTGAAACATACGCGTGTTCGGTGGACCTCCGGGAACTTGCATGCGGTGGATTATGACGAACTGCGGCGAAAAATCACCGTCCTTTCCAACGAATGCGGAGAAATCGCGCTGCATCCAGTTCAAGTTATTGTCGAAGTTGATGGAATAGGAGCGGACCATGTGCTGGTCCAGTCCGAACTGATCCAAATAGGACTGCTGCGCGCCCATGAGCCAAGTCCGGTAGCCTGCGTGGTACCGCAGCCCGCTCGCACAGCTGTCCTTCTCGTCGACGAGGGAGTGCCACTTGATGCCGACCACGTCCCCCAAGAAACTGCGCAGGTCCATGCCGTCCGGCTCCGTCCACGTGAGCGCGCAGATCTGGGCGTCGGGCCGACTGCTCGCGGCCATGTGGGCAAGCTGGATCATACCGTACATGGTCAGCAGGCAATGTGTGATGCGGTGGCACGCCGCGTGGCGACCCAGCCGGAGGCCCTCGCACCGCAGGTTCACCGTGAAGTCGCAGCCGGAGCACTCGTCGCGGCCCGCGGAGACGGCCCACGGATCCGTGGCGTCGTCGACGGTGGCGAGCTGCACCCCGTTGCCTGGGACGGGCTCGGGGTTCCAGGCCTGGGCGCCGTGCGCAATCCGGTCACCAGACCCCACGCCCCACGCGGCCCGCAGCAAGTCATTCAGCTCCGACTTCCACCACGGCTCGGAAGGGGCCGTGGATAGCACAAGAGCGGCTGCGTGCGGCACGCCAAGGATCACGACGAGGGGGCCCACGAAGACGCCGAAGGACGCCTTCGTGAAAGCCATGGGAAAAATCATAGATATTCAGTACTCGTAAATTGGAGGGCTTCTGGAAAGCCTTCGGCAAAGTTTCAAGCCAAGCCGCTTGAGCCAAAATGGCTACGGAAGCATCTTTCAAGAACATGAGACCCTCCGTCGGCCAACACACACCGAACATCCAAGGACACCTTCCCCAGGGTGCACAAGAACGTCAAACAAGCACGGAGAACATTAGGGCACCCTCCCCGAATCGACCTCGATCTTAGACCTCGGTCCGACTGTACGGCGGTCGAAACGACTGGGAGGAAGCCCAGGCGCTGTCTCTAGAACAATGATGACGCAGGGCAACGGCATACATGTTCTACGTCGTTGCTCATACCAAGCTGCTGGGCGAAATTCTTTGTTGAATTCCGTGCCATGTGGTGCGTCGACGGCTTGCAGTGGTCCATTTTTCATGCAATCTGAAGACACAGATGCTTCCTCCCCGTATAATGCGCGGAGTAACCCTTCGCCCACCAGGAAGCTAAACATCACATTCGCTCAGGCAAAGCGGTTGAAGCCTGCGCTCTGTATAGCAAGGCCCCAAACAACACAGTCGTGCAACCTGACGTGCAAGGCAGGAGTAGCACTGGCAGCCGTGCAAGAGCACGAGTAATGGCACTATTGGCTGTTATACTACGAACCCCATAGATGACACACCACATATTGGGTAATGTCGGTTGCGCACCACGGGGTTCACAGAGCCACTGTTTGGGGCCATTCGCTGGCATCACGCAAGCAGTGGTGCACCAGAAGTACTGGCCGCTTTGGAAGAAGCCGTACCAACACTACTGACAACCAAGGCTACTGCAGATGCGACCCGTGCAGCTGCCACTGCTGCTGCCACTGCTGCTGCCCATGCCGCGAATGAAAGTCTGGCACAGCGCAGCAGCCAAGGGGCACCAGAGGACACCAACCACGAGGCACCACAAAACACCCCCCCACAGGGCTTCCCACACCCCTCTTCGCCAGCGGCCGCAGGAGCGTCGGACGGCCGTCGAGCAGCGGCGGGGCGCGCCGGTGCACAGCAGGGCACGAGGGAGAGGGGGCGCGACGGGGTGCGAGGCGGCCGGAGAGAACCCGGGGGGCGAGGGAGCCGCACAGCCAGAGGGCTTCACACACGAGGCACGCCGCAGCACCAGCCGCAGGGCACCGACGCGCGAGTGCTCCGCCACAGCACGGACGGGCAGCGCATCGAGCACCGGGCGCCAGCCACGGAGCAGCCGCGGGCCAACGGCCGAGCAGGACGATCCGGGCCAGCCCCAGGGCCCAAAAGCAGACGGCAACAGCCACTGAGCAACCACGCGCCTGCGGCCGGCTGCGAAGGACAGGGCCAGTTCCCTACAAACGGAGCTGCAACGTGGAACTTGAGGCAAAGGGTTGAACATGCTAGAAGAACTGAAAAGTGGAACGAAACGAAAGTTCAAGTAGTTCATCAGAAACTGTGAAGTTCAAGAAGGTCGCATGAAGTTCGAGTATCGTCCAGACGTGAACTGCTGAACACAGTTCAATCACAGTTCAAATAGAGCTCACTCATAAGGGCGACTCTAATCAGGTTCTGAAAGCACAACGATCAGCTATCAAAAGAAGCTCGAGTAAACTTCAGAGCAATCTCAAAACCAGCTCGAACCATGTTCAATCAAGTTCACATTCCATTAGGGTCTAGTTTTGTAGATTAGCAAGCGTAACCACGAAGAGTGTGGTTTTAGCAGTCTAGGTTGTGCATTCTTGGTGGCGCAACCTATGTGATACAACCTATGTTGTGCAATTTAGGTGGAGCAAGCGTTGCAACTTTGTGGTGCAATCGACGTTGTGCAATATCTGCCGTGCAAACCTATGTTGTGCAACGTAGGTTGTGCAATACTAAGCATGATAGGTGGGTGGTGCAATCCATGGTGCGCACTCCATGAGGAACAAACTATGTGGCGCAATCTATGCGATGGCTCTGCCCAGCCCAGCGCGGCTCCCGCCCCTGCAGCGAAGAGCAGGAGGAGAGGACGATACGACGACGACAAAGCCGGAAGGCGCAGCAGGCGGCGCCCCTCGGGCGGCAGGCGGAACGCAGAGGGACACACCAGTACTGTATGCGCCCCTCTCGGAGGCATGCGCCCGACCCAAACACATAGCACTCACACCTCTGAAGGGGCCCTGGGACACACACAAATCAATACACACAAATCAAACTATTCCCCATATTGTCCCATCTTTTTTGGGGGGATTTTGTCCTCCCCCCCACTGCCCATACTTTTCCCATATTTTCGGGGGAATCGATGATGACTTGTGTCTGTGTGTTTCTTTTCCTCCTGATCGTTTCCCGCGCGGTATGGCCAGAAAGCGCCCGGCACGAAGCCCATGCTACGAGATTCTCCGGCGCGCGCGCTGCCCCCGAGGGGCCGACGCACACATAAAAAACTAGCATGTTGGGGTGACGCCGACCTCGAGCTCCTGTGGGCAGGCTGCCGCCTCTCTCTCTGCAAGGCGCCTGTTATACCGGTGCGGGCAGTCCGGCGGCATGAGACACTGACGAGACCGGCCGAACCGGCGACCCGACGGCAGCCCCCCGACCCGGGCCGATCCGCGGCCCGCTCCTGGCTCCCGCCCCGCCGGTGCGACCTGTCCCACCAACGCGAAGGGAGGCCTCCTGTCGACCGAGGACCCGCGACCCCCCGCCCTGGTCCTCCTCGAGAAGCGCGCCGGCCAGACGGGCCGCGGCTCGATCGTCCGAGCCTCGGTCGGTGTCTTCGAGCCTGAGGGCCCTCGTCCTCGCGACCCCGTCCCCGGGATCGGCTTCTCGTCCCGATCGGGCGGGGTGCCGTGGGAGGGGGGGGGGCCCGAAGGGGCCTTTCAGGGCCCCCTTTGGAGCCAACAGGGGACCCCAAAGGAGCCCTACAGGGCCCCTTTGGGGCCCTTTTTTCTTCGAGGTAACAGATCGAGGTCGGTTCGGGGAGGGTATCCTACTGTTCTTCGCGTTTGTTGGATGTTCTTGTGCACTTGGACGTTCTGTGTGTTTTGGCCGGCGGAGGGTCTCATGCTCTTGGGGGATGTCCTCCTGGTCCAGGTCCGACTGTAGGTCAGCCCCCGCTACCACCCACCCGACTCCCGACCCCGCCCCCGGGGGCCGGCTTCTCGTCCCGAGCCGTCCCAACAGCCCCTGGGCCCGAAAGAGCGGCGTCCGCAGATGCCGGAGGTGCCGAGGAACCTCTGGCTCGATGCGGGCGCGGAATAATTGGGAAGCAAGAAGTACATGGGGGGACAGCGAGGGCTGCAGCAGAGGGGTCCTTGATGGGCCTCTAAGGAGCCCTTGCGGGCCCAGAATGGGGGCCTTTCGGGCCCGAGAATGGTACGTTTCTGGGGTCCTTGAGGGCCCCTGAGGAGCCCTTTCGGGCCCAGAAGGGGGCCTTTCGGGCCCGAAAATGGCACGTTTCTTGCCCCCCCGCCCTTTATGGCCCCCCCATGAATTCGCGCCCACCTCGATATATACATATATATATATATATATATATATGTATATATACATACATACAAACATACATACATACATACATACACACATATATATATATATATATATATCCAGGGGGCCAACTCAGGGAGGGGTGGTATCGACTTGGGATCGGCGAGACATCGCCGGTGGATCGGCGATAGGCTCCCGACCGCGTGTCCCCACGATACTGGGCGGGATGGGCCATCGGGCTCATGTCGGCGATGAGTGGGCGATTGGGGGTCGATGCGTTCCCTCCCGAGCCCATCCCTCGCCCCCCGAAGACCCAGGCCGATCCACGGCGGTTCGCGCCTGGCTCCAATCCAGCCCCGCGCAAACATCGGGTGCATGTGAGATCCATTTTCAAGATGCATGCCAATGCGCCGCCGGAGCGCGGTTTCTTCTTCTTTACTAGGATTTCCATTCGAGAATGACTTTGGTTCGCTGCTGGCATACTGTTCTTTTTATTCGCATTCGTTGTAGTATGACTCTTCTGGGTATTATTATTAGTAGTATTATACATATCCGTCTTCTTCTCCTTCTTCCCAATCACTATTGCGATTACGAATCCTATGATTAGTCTTGATTTTTACTCATGGTTTGACACATCCCACGCTCTTGCAAACATCCCACCCACCCACCCGCAACTTGGTTTGCAAAACCTCTTAAGACCGACTACGACGACACCGACGACAACGACCACGACGACACCGACGACGTCTCCGACGACTTCGACGACGACAACGACGCCGACGCCGACGCCGACGAAGACGACGACGACGACGCCAACGAAGACGACGACGAGGGAGAAGGAAGGATGACGATGGCGACAACGACGACAACGACGACAACGACGAGGGAGGAGGGAGGACGGCGACGACGCGAACGACGAAGAAGGAGGAAGGACGGCGACGCCGACGACGACAACGACGAGGGAGGAGGGAAGACGACGACGACGACGACGACGACGACGACGACGACGAACGGCGACGAAATAGGAGGGACGACGACGAGACGCCGACGACGGACGACGACGACGACGACGAGGGAGGAGGAGGAAGGACGACCACGGCGACAACGACGACGGAAACGACGACGCCAAAGAGGACGACGACGACGAACACGAGGAAAGACACAGGACGACGTAGGCGACGACGACGACGACGACGCGGGAGGAGGGAGGACGGCGACGACGACGACGACGACGCAAGAGCGCGCGCGCACGCTTTTGTTGAACATCCGTGTTGCGAAACCTTGTGTTTTTGTATGTTTTTTGGACACACGATTTTGAAATCCTTCCGAAAGCGGTGGGTTTTGAAGGATTTCGGCATACGCGCGCGACGACGCGCGCGTATGCACTTCGTCCCATTTTTTGCAGAGGAGTCTCGCGACAGCACACGCGCAAGGACGTTCGACAGATTTCGACATGCGCGCGCGCGAAGCCCGTTCAATAGAATTGTGTGAAAATCTTGAAAAACCGATGGTTTTCTTAAGATTTCGCAAGAGCTCGCGCGGAAGCTTTTTTAGCAAATCAGTGTTGCGAAACCTTGTGTTCTTGTATGTTTTTTGGAAGCTCGATTGCGAAATCCTTTCGGCACCGAAGGTTTTGGAAGGATTTCGGCAAACGCGCGCGATGACGCGTGTGTGCGTATTTCGTTTAATGTTTTGCAAGGGGTT